AAAAAAAAAATTTCTACTTACACCACCAAATAAACTCCTTAAACCCATTTTTCCTTTACACCACCCCCAAAAGTTTCTCTATCTTTACACTCGTCATAATGCCAAACATGCCATCATCTCTTTGCCACAATTTGTTTTCAGAGATAGAATGAAAGAGATTTATAGTGAAAGAATTGTTAGTGAGAAAATTGATAGTGAGAGGTTTAAGTAAAATTGTGTTTGTTTTGATAATAGTTGTTGGTGTAAGGATTGTTAAAATGGTACTTTTTCATAAATCTCTTTTCACCTACTTATGTTCCATTTAATCTACATTATTTTTTTATATTCCAATAAGTCTTACAAGTGACATAGTTACCAAAATACCCCTAATAATATTCACGTTTACAGTGTGAATGTTCTGTGATGTGAATGTTCACATCGTCAATATGAATATTCACACTGTGAATGTGAAAATTCATACGTTAATGTGAATATTCACATTGTAAAATATGAATGTTCATATCACCAAATTGCTAGCCGTTCAAAAAATATTTGTAAGGGTAGAAATGTCCATAAAATACTTTAAATATGATAATTATGATTTGATAGATCAAATGATCAAATAATAGGATTTATTAGAATACAAGAATATCTTATGGACTAATTGGGAAACAAACACTTGAAAAAGAATTTCCTGATAAATCTTCCTAAATTATTTTTATATAAAATAAATAAAAAAATTACAAAAAATACAAAAACATTAAACATTAATGTTCAAAAAAAATGTCTAACATGTAAAAAATAAAAAATAAAATTAAAATTAAAATAATATAAAATTATGTTTTTTACTTAACAAAAATACAAAAAAATAAAACATTAATGTTCAAAAAAAATGCCCAACATGTAAAAAAATAAATAAATAAATAAAAATAGTCTGGCGAACTATTTTCTAATACTAAGTCTCAAGCCTCTATCCTAACCCTCTCTCCAAGGCCCATCCTAATTCGAAGGGGATTATGAATCTCCTCTCCATCTCCCAAAACAAACACAATATTAATAAGTCGCACCTCAATCCCAATCACAATCCTTCCTCTATCTCCCAAAACAAACGGAGCCTTTGATCCCAACATTCCAAACCCTATATCTTCCAACCACCACCTCTAGCAGTTGCTCCATCTCTAGCAACCGCTCCATCTCCGGTAGCCACTACTGCAAACTTTGGCTTTCAACCCCCAATCCCATCTACCCCTTCCTCTTCCTTCTAGTGACCCTCTCCACCGTCACTATTGTTTGGCCACCGCCAATCAATCCTTCTCTGTCTCACCTCACCACCTCTAACACTTCTCCGGCAGCCTTCAAAAGTCGCCTCATCGCTACCCACTTCCTTCTTTCAAATATGAAAATCATAGATTTTTATCTTTCTTTCTCTTGCTCTCTCTCAGATCTAAGGTTACGAAATGGCAATGGCAACAATCGCAGAGGTAGGAGTGGTGGTTACGGGCTAGGAAGGCGACAACACAATAGATATAGGAGCTGATTGTTAGGAACAACCGCCAAAGATGGTAACGGGGTTGGAGAAGGTAATCGGAGATGGAAGATATTGTGGCAGACAGTGGTGTTGTGGTGGTGAGATGAATGAGGTGACATTGACGAGGCAGTGGTGTTGTGCTGGTGAGGTGAGTAGGGTGGCGTCAGCGCAGACGTCGGTGAGAGAGATAACTAGGGTTTAGAGAAAGTAAGGTTAAAAAAATTTATAGTTTTGTGTCTACTTTGGTAATTTGATATGAGAATAAAATTGTAATAAAAAAAATTAAAAAAATGAAAAAGTCGTGTGTAATGAGATAAAATTATGGTGTAAGTAGAATTATCCAAAAACAAAAAGGACTAAATGGAACAAAAGCCTTTTCAATAAGACTTTTAGGTAATTAACCTAAATATGAGAATTGATTTGATTTTTGAATTACCTGATAACAAAACCAATCCGAATCTTAGAGACTTCATGAAAGAAAAATATCAAGAAACATATATACCTTTTACGTGGGACTCACTACAACCATCTCCCACTCTCTCCACCACCACCTGCTTTCTCTCCATACATATACAAAATATCTACTTTTTACCTTCTTGAATTTGATAGATAGACTTGAAGCAATTAAGTTAGGACTTTGGATGTATTGGGTTTGTTTGGTTGAGATACTTTTTCATTGATAGCTCTTCCCAGATTGACTGAACTTGAGTGGCCTGGTTTGGTTGGAAAAACTTTTACACTCAGCAACACCTACCCATCTGTCTCTCTCTCTCGCTCTCAACATTTGGGATTCGGATAGGACAAGGCTACAATTTTGGAATTGTTACGTTACGTTGTGTTTGGTTCATGAATTTGGTTCATGAATTTTGATAGAGATTTATAAGAAAAAAAAGTTTAACAGTAGGTAAAATGCGAGTGAAATATAACTATATTTCACATACATTTTTCCTTTCTCTTTTTCTTTCTCTTTCTAAATCCCCGCCCAAATTTATGAACTAAACATAGTCTTAAAATGCTAACTTAGCTGGTGGGATTCTCACTAGATTTGGAAAGAAAATGATTTTGGGTTTGAGTCGCTCTGTAAAAGCGATGTGATTTTCATCCTCTTTTGCTCTTAGTTTATGCTTGCTAAGACCCTATTAGTTTTGGAGTCTTAAGCTAGCGTCTTTGATTTTCCTTGTACTGACCTTGCTTTGTCAAGATTCAATCTAAGCCTTTCATGTCCAACTTCTCAACAAATAAGAGCTCCTTTAATCAGACAGAGAGAATTTTTAGTCACTCCTTTTTTATGTAGCAAGAAAAAAGGAGACATATATGAGAGGCCAATAATCCACCCTATTTTTCTGGTATAGTGGTCACAATGGGGTCATCTCTACTTTCCTTTTGGCTTTTGGCACTTTGATTTTTGGAAGGTTTAGAGAGGGTAAGTGGGGACTAGTCTACAACTACTACAATGGATTTTAGACACAAATCACAAGAGGGTAAGTGGGGACTAGTCTACAACTACTACAATGGATTTTAGACACAAATCACATCCTTTTCAAGTGATAGATACCTCTCTACACATAAAAGGATGATAGCAATCCATGAAAGGATGATAGCAATCCATGAAAAACCCACCTTGCATTTCTACACACATTATTCAATATTTTCAGAATACCACATGTCTATAATCCTATCCAATCATTATTCATTATATCCCTTCATGTCTCCCAATCACCCAATACAATACCCCATCTACCTACCTTCTCTACCAACCATAATACTATGAAGTACCACGTGTCTATATTCCTAAATTACTGAATAATTACCCATGAATCACATATTTTTCCTAATTATAAAATATATATATACATAACTTTTTAGTCACTAATAAAAGTCATAATATTCATAATATAATTATAAAGAGCTGAAATTAAGAATTTTCTTACAATCTGTCCTTATAATTACACCACAATAATTAGTAACTACTACCAAAAAAATTGCTTGGTTCCATTTTTCCAAAAACACTTTTCAAAAAATTCTACTTTCTTATTTTTCGTATTTTTTTTTGTTTTTACTAAATTTTTTTAATATTTTAAGCAATTTTTTTTACTTTTTAAACACATCTAACATAAATACACCTAAAAAGTAAAAAAAATTGTAAAAAAAATCTTTTAAAAATTCACTAAATAACAAAAATATTTTTTAAAAAATATAAGAATTCAGTAATATTTTTATTATTTTTATGTATTTATTAATTTTTTAAATATTTTTTAACCCAAATTTTTTTTTACTTTTTAGATACATCTAAGTAAAGTGCATCTAAAAAAGTAAAAAAAATATTTAAAATTTTAAAAATATTCACTAAAAACAAAAAAAAAATACGAAAATCAAAAAATTCAATTTTAAAAAATTTAATCCAAAAAATTCAAACCAAACACACCGATTAACTTTCTGAAAAAACACATTGTAGCATTTTCCTATATCCATATTTCGTGTATGAGAGAGAGAGAGGGAGACCCACTACTTCAAAGTGGAAATATGGTGCCACAAGAGTAGAAGAAAGCAACCCCCCACCCCCAAAACACCACTATTATTAGAAACACAATCCATTCTCTCAATTGCTTCTATAGATTTTATTCTCCCTCGTTAATGATTCATGTACTTTGATTGAGGGAAAATGTAAAGTTTTGGGCTCTTGTTTGTGCTTCATCTATCGTCTATCAATAACAACATTTGCAAGCATATGTATATATACATATATATGGCAGGAGATCTTTTATCCTCAAAATCTATCTCAATGTCTCTAATACACTCGCACAATCATACCTCCCAACTTTTTGTATTTTGAGATGTCTGCCATATCGTTTGTCACCAGTCAACAATGCATGGTAGCCTTCGTCTCATTGTTACTCTAGAACTCTAGATGGTAAAAACGTTATTAACTGAGCTTTAGCCGGAGCAAGAACGAAGGTACACATCTATTTTTTCGGACTGAATTGCTAGAATTGGAACATTGGACTTGACGAGGTATTGGGTGCTGAATCATAGAACACCAAAAATTGTAGTATCTTATCCTTCATGACATAAGATTGAAATATCCAAACTTTCCCCTTTGGATATATATATATATATATATATACACATATATGACAACCATCTAACACTTCATTTTAATTTGGTGAGCGAAATGCCACCTTTTCCACAAGGAATTAAAACTCAAAAAACAAAACTTCTCAGATGAAATGATGGTAATTTTGATAAAATAATTTTTTGGCAACATCAAAAATTTTGGTCCTCTCTTTTCTTTTCTCTCTCTCTTTTTCTTCTTTCCATCTTTTTTTTTTTTTTTTTTAAATTTCACATTCATTTACTATGATTTATTATGATTTCTATATAGTTTTAGATTGATTTATGGTGGAGTTCCTACAAACAATTCCATAAAGTTTCAACAAGCCCCAACCCATTCAAAAACAAGTTCTGTACCAACTGTAGAAATCCAAACCTCCACTCAAACTAAATATAAACCACTACTATATATATAATTCCATTCAAACCAAGTAGGGCCTACCCGAGCCAAATCCACAACAATAACAGCCACACAAAGTCACCAATTATACTAAAAACCATCATCAAAGCAGACTCAAACATGAAGAACACAATCTAGTGGTTATTCCATTTATACTCAAATATACAGTAAAAAAAAATTCTGCAAAAAGAAAGGAGAGGACCTATGAGAAGGAAAAGCTAATGTAACTGACCTTTTTTCCGAGGATGAGCTCAGTGAACTCATGATTAACTTAGCCACCAATATGTTTCTCTCTCTGTTTTAAAAAATCGTTCAACAAGTGGTGTAAGTTGTGTGACCAGTGGGGTACCTCAATGATCTAAAGAATCCGAGAATCAAAAAGGATATCAACGTTTCAGCATATCCCACTTCTGCATCAACTGGAGCTCGGCCACAAGGAACTGAATCTGGATGCCAGTTTTGCACTCTTGTAGTCCTCTCTGAGCTCAATAAACCTGAATTTGTAATCAATCTGAAAGTTTAATCTACTAAAAGGAATAGAGGGTAGAGGAAAATACACCATAACAAGATAGAGGAAGAAAAAGAGAAGCGAAGACGTAGATTTTATCTCTCCAACGCTCCGATTATTTTGGAAAAAAACTACGCTTTCCTATGTTTGGTTTGTGACCTTAAAACTAATATGCTAGTAGTTGCATTAGTAGTGGTAGTGTGAAGCCATTGGTAAGACTTTAATCCATAAAAAAATTTCACCTTTCAAAAATGAAAAACATTTCTTGCCCAAATAAACTTATTTTCCGTTAACTACAAACAAATGTTTTACTTTGATTATCATTTTCCATTGTACCAAACGCAAGAAAATGTGAAAAACGTTTTCTGCTGGAATAAATAAAGCGCAAACGTGGTAGTAAAAGATATGTTTCTTTCTAAATGTGGTAGTAATTGTGTGGGCTCCATCCATGAAGCTTCTAACTAAAGCCAAGTGAATTCAACTTGAATATTCATAAATCACCACCCTTAATGCTTTCTGGGCAATAAACTTGAGTTTTTCACAGCTTTAACATTTTCAAAGTGCATTTTAATACTTCTTTATGAAAATGTGTACCAAAGAAGAAAGAACTGAATTTAGGAAAGACCACAGTTGGGGTCCACACCCTTGTCAGTGTTCGGTGTCCCTAGGATTGATCCTGAATTTAACGTGTTCTATAAATATCTGCAGCAAGTATTTTCTATTTAGTCTTCAATATAGAAGACATAGCTAATGTCACAATTACCTTTGTGCATCTTTCCGAATACTTGGAGTACCCTCGAACAAAGAGGAGAGGCTTTCAGGAGCAACAATAAAGACATTGGCCATGCTGTAAACAAAATTTGTTATAGTAAATCAAGATAGAACATGCTAAATTTGAAGCCTGAGATCAGACCGATGCCTACAACTTACATGCCCAACAATTCAAATTTCTCATCAACTGAAGGAGTATTGAAACGGCGCACGAATTCCCCATACTCGGTTATGTCACGCTTCAGCCGCAATCCTCCACTAGAAAAGAGATAAATGCAAGGTGAAGCAGAACAATATATGAACAAGTCTCTTCTCTTCATGTTCTTGTTAATGGTTGGTAGTTTTGTTTTTCTTGCTACTCATTTGCATGCTTGATCATGTGCCTGTCTGTTGAAATTTTCTCTCTAATGGTGCAATTTGGGTGACTGCTTGTGTCAAGTAGTTTTTAGTGTGTTTGGGATGGCTCCCAAATTTGCAAGATTTTAGTGTCACATGGACTCTTGCTTTTCTATTTCTCCCCAAGTACACATGTCCACCAGATGTGTGTAATATGACAAGGGTAAAGGTGTGTGACGTGTCCAACACCCATAACCAATTTATTGAAGAAATATTTATTGCCTCTCATATTTTCCTTAAATTCTATTTAATTTCAAGTACATTTCTAAATAATTTATATCATTTTATCTAATAATATTGTACAATATGCATTGCATATCAGTATCAGGAAATGTCCCATACCCATACCCAGCTTTTGGATACATATCCCAATATTCTACGATTTAAGTATAGGAAGGTCTAACACTTAAACACACATCCGATACCTGTACTCGAGTCCATGTAACATAGCAATTTAGATGGTCTCTATCCTTGTATATCTCTGAGGCATGGCCCTTATTCTCTGATCCTTTTTTTATTTATTCACTTAATAAATTAAATAAAAAGAAAAGTTGCAAGAGTCCCTTTTGATGCCAAATGCAATTGTCACATACAACTTTTACCTTGTTCTTTGATCACATTTTGGGAAAAGGTTCCAATTCTATTTTTTATTTTCCCTCTTTAATGATTTTGTACTCTAATCCCAAATTTTAGCACAAACATATTATTAAATGAATATCACATTTACGTCTCTTTGTCACAGGAACATGCATATAGCCATAATCATTAACAATCATAGTTTTACCATGCGTATATACACATGTTCAGCATAATAAACAGGCCATGCAACAAAAAGGAAAGGTATTACCTGGGATTAAAAGTAAACTTCTGCCAATGATTAATTAACCCTTTCTGCAAGCGGTTTCCCTAAATCAACAAACAAATTGACAGCATCATCACATCAAATGCAAATGAAATATCATACACACCTCATGACCCCAATAAAAATTTCTGGAAAATATTATAGAAGATGAATTGCTCAATGCATTAAAAACATTGCAATAGAGGGCTCAGTGAATGTAAGGAAAGATAGAATGCCAATTTTTAGCGACATTCCAGCTATGTATGTTTAAGCCTTTAAGGTCATGTTGTTTGGATAATAATCTAACAAAATACACTCTCACATTTGGCTAAGAAAATTGGAGTCCGTACAGATAGTCCATCCGGACATGGTATCACCCATCCAGACTATTGAATCTATGTAACTGACCTCATCCTCAAGTAATTAGTAGTTTGGATAAAGGCTTGTCAAGTCGAGTTCAGTTGAGAAAATAAGGAAAGCATTTCCATTCCACATGCTTACCAAAAAAAATCATGTCCACATAAAAAATGGCAAACACCATTTCCAGACAACGGAAAGGAATTTGCCACTAGCAGTCATGGAATGGAATGATAGAAAAAATTAAAAAAGGCATACCAATTCAGTCAGGAAAGCTTGTTTGTTAAGACCTTCTAGTGCAGTGAATGCAGCCTCAAGCACACGGGAAAGGTATGCGACAACTCTAGTCAACAGAAGAGAAACATCAATTAGCAATGTTGCATAGCGTCATAAGTAAACAAGGATAATTTTAAGAGAGTTCCGAAAGCAAATAATTTCATTTTAAATGCCAAGGAAACAATATGGTTTATTTCAAATGGCAATATTAGTCCAAATACAATTTCCAAGACCGTCAAGTTGGATGGACCTCGAGCAGGCATTTGTTGCCCGATGATCAGGACCAATACCATCATCAGGTGACCTATAATCTGGAGCTTTTTGTTCAGCAGAGAGCAATCGCTCCACCTGCATTAAGAGTTTTAGAAGTAACTATCTTTGAATACCTAACTTGAAGAAGACAAACAAAAGCACCAAACAAGTGCGAACCTGGAAGCCTTAAGCAGATGCTATCATCAAACAATAACACAATATAAATCTAAAACAGTATCAAAATGCTAAAAAGAGAATAAACTACCACATAGAAGTAGCCATCCTGACACTCAGTTGAAACTGACAGAGCTATTTATAGAAGGATATGTGGCTTTAGTGCACTTGAACCTAAATATTAGGTGCAAGTTTGCCAATTACAGACCTCAGCCATAACTGTTTCAATGCATTGTTGAAGCCCTTTGCAGGCACTACCCTCTGCACTGGACATAGCTGTTGCCATCTCTTCACATGAAGAAGCATGTGCACCATCTACAGGTAGTAAAAGTCGAGATATAGTGTTTGCAAAGTGCTGCAGGAAAAAAGTTCAAACCCAATTTTATTCATAAAGAACTATCAGGCCATTCTCTCACAATTTTTAAAAAGAAAATTAAATGAGATCATTAATTGCAATACTTGCTGAACAATAGCCACACTGCTTGCACAGCGTTGGACTGCCACCATGAAAGATCTGAAACTGCTTTCTCCAGCAGCGGCAGCAGCTTCTGCCTACACATCACCATCAATTAGTCTTTCTTAATGCGGTCAACCTCTAGGTGGGTTATTTTCTATTTAAATCTTAGCTTGAATAAAATTACTACACAAAAGAGGAGAAAGTCAAGGAATTACAGCAGAAGCAGCGACCCTTTTACTAACACTTGTTCCCAGCACAAACCTCTCCCTCAAAGCAGCAGCTTCAGTCAGACTGTCTCTGGCTCGTTCAAGCCCCTTTGTTGTATATTGACTGACCTGCAGTAGGAGAAAGAAAGAGAGAAGAAAAAAGTTATGTATGACATAGATACCCAAAACTAAATGTCAGAGCAAAGATTAGCCAACTTACTTCGTCTAACAGGCAAGTAAATACAGCTTTTACATTGGCTGCAAGGGTAGCAGGCTGTAGATAAGAAGTTGAGAATCAGTGACTGAAAACCTCAAAATAACTAAATCTTCAAATGGCCATTTAATTCATAAATAAGCCCACAAGAATCAAAAAAATTTGCAGTGCCAACATAAGTTTTATGCATCCTCAAACCAAAACCCAAAATAATTACTAACCTTAAAGTACAGATTGCCCCCTATGATTTAGAAAATTACAAATACCCCCTTTTCAAAAAAATTTATTTAACAGAATTAGCTAAAAAAATGAAATTTATAATTGTTCTCCTATACAATAATGAAATTACCTAAATTATTAATTGAAACATATTTCTAACATCATTAAAAATTGTTCATTGATTTCATGATTTATTAATAAAAGGGGCGATCTCTCATGAAATTAGAAACCTCAGGGGGTGGGATGTAATTTTCAGAACCACAGGGGGTGATTCATATTTTAATCAAACCTCAGGGGTGTATTTGTAATTTACCCTAAGTTTTTTAAGGAAAGTAACCAACCAATTATAGCAATTGTTTCCTAACAGCCTTCTCCTCCCATCATTCAGTGCTTCCTACTTGCACTGAACCTCCTTCCTCATCTGCGTCCCCTCTACATGGATGGACCATCTCAATCGTCACTTACCATAAATCTAACACCTATTAGGACTCCCCATAGGTTCTTTTCTTTTTTTCTTTTTTTGGTCATTTAAACAGCACACTCACAAGTAGGAAATTTTTAGGCTATTCACTTTCCCAAAATCAATTTCTCCTTCTTTTCAGTATCCTTGTAAGTATTTTTCCAATCCTTAGACTAAATGAAGCTATCACTCATCCACAAGTCACAGCGAGGAGATATTTTATCACCAAGTGAAAGAACCTCCACCAGAATTGAAATGCTTAATCTCCAACTGCAGATCACAGCTCAGACGAGTAACCCATGCATATGTAAAGGCATACTGTACTTGAATCTAAAAGCATATCTGCACTTGACTTCATGTACTCAGTCTTCACACCACAAAAAATAAATCAAAACCACAATTGTAGTTCGGTAAACAAAACCTCCTTCATAGTTCTTACCTCATTGGCTCATTCACATTTATGGATTTGCACATTTACGAGATATACAACTCTCAGGAGCATAAGACTACTTTATGCACCTTTGTTAGTACTGACCAGCATATAAACTACTTCCCAAATTGAGCATTTCAACAGTGAAAAAAAAAAAATGGCATGCCTTCATAGTTCATACCACAGCAATAAAAGAAAATGCAACAACTCACCCTCACTGTTCACTTGTATTAAAATCAATCAGTACTAGCATTAAGACTATCAATGTCCATAGCAAAGAAATCCTATTCACATAAAAGGATGTCAAAAAATGTGGATGGTAATCTAAAAATGGATGAAAGAAAATTGTGAAGTCGCCAAAGGTAAGAATAAATTCAAGCATCCACCTTGCAGAGAGAGTAATCAAATTTGGTACAGGATTCCGATGGGAAGTGAAAGAACACAAAATCCACAATGCCATACTAGACAACTCTAGAATGAAGAGTGCTACTTGGGGTAGCAACATTCTTATGGAGAAAACCTAATCGTAAGCTTATGTCGGGATAGGACTTGCTATTGTACCTCTGGAGGCAGATCAGCTTTGGAGTCTAAATGAAGGAAATTAAAGCTGTGGTGTATCTCAACTTGCACTTCCTTAAATACTTTTCAATGGTCTATTAAGAAGCTATGTATTTCACATTTTTAATTTGATAAGACCATCCTACCTCTCTGTAATGGTCCAATGACCAGTACAGCATTATTCAGTGCAGATTTAAATGATTGGGATGTAACATTTGAAGTTCATTTAGCTAAACAAGAGATATTGGGGTTGGAGAGATCTCACGTGTACACTACTAGTTCTTTCATCTTTCAAATATGCAAGTAAAAGCTGGTAGCCTGGAAAACTATGATATTCATCCAAGAGAGAAGGGCTACAAATTACTTGTTTTGTTTAGCAAGGCTTCCAACCCCACTCCACTCCCCACTCAGATGTCATGTTTAGTTGCCAAGAGTATTTAAGACATTGAAAAGAACTTCCTCATGGGCAAGAAATGAGCGAGAGGTTAAAGTAGCACTTGGTGAGGTGAGATAAGCTGTGGTCTTTAAGAAAATGACTTTTCATGGGCTTGAAAGAGTAAAAAGATGAAGTACTACTTAATAAACAAGGATAAGAAATGATCTACAACAAAAATTAAACACCACATTTTAAAAGGAATATAGAGCTCAAATATCATTGTCAACTTTAAAAAATGGAGTTCAAGAAATATTGTGTAGTTTTTACTTCTCTCTCTGAGATAGTAAGACAGACGCATCCATGTTCTCTGGAGGCAGCATGAGATACTACTCAAAAGCTAACAGCTGTAGGTAAATTTAATTTTGTAATCTTTTTAGACTCACAAAAATAATTACCCAAGTACATTTCAATTCAATCCTTGGCAAGATTGTGTAAACATATTGGAGCTTTCAGTAATGGAAGCAACATCAAGGATCCGTTTGTTTTGACGTAAACATTTTACTCATTTTCCGCTGTTTGGTTGAACAAAAAGTAAGTAAAAACATTTTTTAAGGTAATATTTTTGCATCATTTTTTCAAAAATGACTTACCTTCAAAAATTCTGCAAGTCAATTTTTACAAAGTTGACTCTCACTCATTACCTTTTCAACACATTTAGCTTTTTCAAATAAGTACATTAGCTCACTAAAAAGTCATTTATTGTTGAATCAAAATTTCTCTTTTAGGCAATAAAATGTTTTTGTTTCAAGTGTCAACCAAATGCCGAAAAACAAAAAACTTTTTTTTTTTGTGTAAAATCAATTTACAAGAAAAATATATTTTTGTGTAAAATATTTTACGTCAAAACAAACAAAGCTCAAAGGCAGAAACATAATTTACCTGAGATGAAAACAAAGTGCATCTGGAAATTGCTTCTTCATTCCAGTGCACAAACTCTGTCACCACAGTAACAGATATCTGCTGTTGGGAAGATGCTATTGCAGCTCCCTTTGAGCGTCCAATAGTCCCAGATGACTCAGATGATTGCTGGTTTTCAGCATGCAATTCCTCCACCTGCATAGCACAGTCACATCAGAGACTGTTGTAACAAAATCTGTGAAGCAAAATTAGAATCATAATTCACTCAAACCAACCTTCCTTCTCCAAAAAGAAGAAAAAGAAAGTAGTAACAAAGGAAAGAAGGGGGAGGGAAGATAGAAATTGAAATAAACCACCTTCGCCTTGTAAAGTTGTCTCAGAGAAGCCTGCTCATGCTCAATATATTCATCTTTCTGGGCAGTAAATAAAGACTCCGTCAACCCTGTTTCAAAAGAGGAAACTGTTGTCAAGGCATCAAAGTAAAAGATAAATATTAAAGAAATCTTGATACATAGTAATTCAATCAAATATGAAAAATTATATAAAAATTAAAAATATATATGTAATAAATAAACTAGTTTATGTTCCTTCAATTAAAAACATCAAGAGTAGCCTCTTTTGCGATGACAACCTCTCCGCACCAAACTGATGATAACTCATGAATATCCCTTTAGCAAATGAAAGAAACTTGTAAAGAAGTACGTTAGGCAAAGTATTTTGGGACTTTGGAGCCTCTTTTCAGATTGTAATTGATAAACTCATAGTTGCAACACTAAAAGAGAAATGATATTAGAGAAAGCAACGAGAACACAAAAGCATGGACAAATATCCATAAATGAACACTGGATTCAACTCAACAAAATCTTCTCCCGACTACTAGAAGTCATCGGCCACATGAGCCCTATTTCGCCATTTTGCTCAATCAAGAGCCATAATATCAGTTAGATCACAAACTAACATGTCTTCCCTTACAATCTTAACCAGAGTTAATTATTATCTATCATGTCCATTATCATTACCCTAAATGTGGACAGTGTCCCTCTTCCAAATTAGTGCAATTATTGGTCCTCTTTATACATGACCAAATCATCTTAGTATATTTTCTCTTATTTTATTTGCAATAGGCTTGTACTTCTATTATCTTGTGAATGCATTCATTCCTCATTTTATTTTTCCTAGTTTTGTCCTATATCCACGTCAACATTCTCGTCTCAACTACACTCATTCTAAGAACATGTTTCTTAAATGCCCAGCATTCTGTACCATTAAGCACAGTTAGTTTTATATTCGTCTTGTAGAATTTTCCTTTCAAATTCATGGGCATGCATCAATCACACAATACACCTAAAGCATTCTTCCTCTTTTTTATGAGTTGCACCATCACCATTTTGTCCCTCTGTATGTATAACCGAGCCTAGGTACTTTGGTTATTAGCCTGCAATTATAACTACCACCTCATTTATATTTCAGGTTTTACAAAAGTAATATTTCATACACTCAGTTTTAGTCCAACTTATCTTAAACCTTCTTCATTTTAGAGCTTCTTTCTAAACTTCTAATTTAGTATTACCCCTTCTCTTCTCTTTTTTGTCAAAGCGTACAAGTGTTATACTTAAAATAGGGCTGACTGTTTTGATTTTCTGTTATGTCTCTAAAATTTTTCTACACCAAAATTCACTCCAAGTGATACATGAAGCACCTCAGACATGAAAAAGTGAAATACAGGACACACCCACACTGCGGTCACTACCATATCCCTAATGCAAACATACAATAATTAAAAAATCACTAGGTTCACTTACACTTGTTTTCATTATGATCATAGTTCTATCATACATGTTGATGTAGGACAAATAGGGACAGCGCTGTAAGGGCAGTTCTGGGGCTGTGAAAGTGCTGAAATCTAAGAAAGAAAGAAAGGAGAAGAAGAAGATAGGTCTAAGAATCACTCCTAGAATTCCTTAGGCATCACATAATCCATAAGAAGCTTCAAAAGCTCTGAAAAATTCTCTAAAATATGAACTCTATCGAATTATAAGCATTACATGGCTTTACATAGAATTAGAAGACTTCCTAAACCAACTATAACAAAAAAAGGAAACCATTATAATATATTTGATTTCTAAAACTAATTTAAGACTAAATAAGAAATATAAATAAAACCCAATTAACTAACTTGACTCACAAGACGACCCATGGGCGACCCCTACAGCCATGATAACAATAAAGAAAATTACCAAAATACCTTTGACCTAAAAATCCTACAAAACATAAAAATAATAATAAAATAATACTAAAAACATAATTATATAAAATTCCTATCAATTTCACTATGAAATCATGCCAATGTCCAAATATAATTGCTTCTTTGAATTTAGTTCCTGAGCTTCTTATACTCTGCACGACATGTCCTTCATCATATCAATATATCTATTTGTGACTCCTTTATTTTCCAAAATCTACCATATTTTGTCCTCCTCTCATTGACTTTCTCCAAGCACAGAAAAACCATATGAAGTTCATTTATTCAAGCAACTCATGAAAAATCAAACAGCATTCAACAGTTTTATATTATCCAAAACAGATTTATGACATTAATTTAATTCCAATTACATCAATCCGGCAGAAGTATTTTATTCTTCCTTCTAAGGCTAATGTTCTTCGGGTACATTTTCCTTGTTGGTCACAGTTTTATATTATGCAACACAGAATTATGAGGTTCATGTAATTCTAGTTGCATCAATCCAGCAGAAGTATTTTATTCTTCCTTCTAAGGCTAATGTTCTTCGGGTACATTTTCCTTGTTGGTCACAGTTTTATATTATGCAACACAGAATTATGAGGTTCATGTAATTCTAGTTGCATCAATCCAGCAGAAGTATTTTATTCTTCCTTCTAAGGCTAATGTTGTTCGGGTACATTTTCCTTGTTGGTCACAGTTTTATATTATGCAACACAGAATTATGAGGTTCATGTAATTCTAGTTGCATCAATCCAGCAGAAGTATTTTATTCTTCCTTCTAAGGCTAATGTTGTTCGGGTACATTTTCCTTGTTGGTCACAGTTTTATATTATGCAACACAGAATTATGAGGTTCATGTAATTCTAGTTGCATCAATCCAGCAGAAGTATTTTATTCTTCCTTCTAAGGCTAATGTTGTTCGGGTACATTTTCCTTGTTGGTCACAGTTTTATATTATGCAACACAGAATTATGAGGTTCATGTAATTCTAGTTGCATCAATCCAGCAGAAGTATTTTATTCTTCCTTCTAAGGCTAATGTTGTTCGGGTACATTTTCCTTGTTGGTCACAGTTTTATATTATGCAACACAGAATTATGAGGTTCATGTAATTCTAGTTGCATCAATCCAGCAGAAGTATTTTATTCTTCCTTCTAAGGCTAATGTTGTTCGGGTACATTTTCCTTGTTGGTCACAGTTTTATATTATGCAACACAGAATTATGAGGTTCATGTAATTCTAGTTGCATCAATCCAGCAGAAGTATTTTATTCTTCCTTCTAAGGCTAATGTTGTTCGGGTACATTTTCCTTGTTGGTCACAGTTTTATATTATGCAACACAGAATTATGAGGTTCATGTAATTCTAGTTGCATCAATCCAGCAGAAGTATTTTATTCTTCCTTCTAAGGCTAATGTTGTTCGGGTACATTTTCCTTGTTGGTCACAGTTTTATATTATGCAACACAGAATTATGAGGTTCATGTAATTCTAGTTGCATCAATCCAGCAGAAGTATTTTATTCTTCCTTCTAAGGCTAATGTTGTTCGGGTACATTTTCCTTGTTGGTCACAGTTTTATATTATGCAACACAGAATTATGAGGTTCATGTAATTCTAGTTGCATCAATCCAGCAGAAGTATTTTATTCTTCCTTCTAAGGCTAATGTTGTTCGGGTACATTTTCCTTGTTGGTCACAGTTTTATATTATGCAACACAGAATTATGAGGTTCATGTAATTCTAGTTGCATCAAGATTTATCAAATTCAACGAAAAGCCAACAACTATTATAAAGATCAATGACAATCCACCTAACCTAGAATTTCTTTGTACAATGAAGAAAGCCCACGCGCAACATTGCTAGGACTAGGTTGAGAACCCTCGTCACCAAGGACCAATCTAATGTCTGCATTCATGACCTCTACATCAATAAACATTGGACGGGTTGCCACATAATGTTGCATGGCGCTGGTGCCCCTGTTGAACTGTATCAAACAAACTCATTAGAGGAAATAGAAATTTTTTGTTCTGACAATTATCAATATTCGATTATAAACTAGAGCAGTATAGTTTTGCACATATCTGCTTAGAATGACAATATTTGAGACTTAATCCTACTGGAAGAAATTGCAGAGAAGTAACACAAGAAGATCAATTGAATTTCCCTTCATTCGGGGAAAAATAAAAAAAAAAGATAGCAGACACTGTGTTTGATCCTTAAGATTTTTGCAGAACTATAAAGTAGATTGTAATGCATTCAATATCAGCATTCATGAGCATATTGACATAATTAATTATTTGAGAAAATGAGATAGAAATCCCATATATAAATATATATGATCCAAGTCTTCCCCATTCACATCAATAAAACATCTCTGTGTTTCAAAGTGAACTTGCAGACATGAAAAAAAACATAATTTTTTTAGTGGGTCATGCTAACAACAGCCTACAGGCTTGTTATTAAGGTGGGATTAATGCCAAAATAGTTAGGATTCCAATGCATTTTTCACATACCCCCTAACACTTTTACATATTTCCATACACTTTTTACACATCCTCCTTTTTTTTTAGTACATGAGAACAAGAAAACAAAAGCTTGACTCTAGGGAAAGCCACTCCTACCATGTCCGCAAGCAGGAATCCATTCAACTGCCTTGCTTAAATCTCTTATCTCTTACTATTTGTAAGCTGGAGCAGGGTTTGGTGTCATTTGGTCTCTCTATTTATTTTCATGGCCAAAAATAAGCCACCCACTGTCCATTTTAATCTCCTCACATAACAACCCAATTAAGTAATTTTATAAATAGATAGATTTAACTTCCCACATTCTTCTTAATTCACACTGATTCCCATGTTCTGTATGGATCTATTTATCAAAGTACTGCTCACCCCAATAACTCCTCAATAACTGACATTAACAACTGTTGCCTTCCCTAGGATGCTATAATGCGCATTGCGCATGAGCAGCTTCTAGTTCTTGTAAAAGTATCAGACCCAACTAGTATTGATTTTCCTTGATGTACATATGAAAAAGATAAATCCTATGCAATTAAGCCTCTAAATTCAATACATTGCTTGACAAATAAATTCCTGGAAAAAAGAAGAAGAAAAAAACTCATTCAATTTTTATGCTTCACCTGTTCACCTTTTAGAGCCTTCAAAACACCTAAACTAAAAAATGGTAATAAATGGGGAGCTTGCATAGCATTTTCAATACTATTTAAATAATCCTTTTTCTCTTTTCATAAATTACAGTTCCTGACTTCTAGACCCAATAAAAGGAGGGGGGGAAGGGAAATCCCATACGGAGGAAAACATTCATGCCCATCTTAAATTCATAACCATAGACAAAACTAGATGGAAAGAGCAAAGAGTTTTAAACCTTGTTTTCACTTAAACACCAACTACTAAATTATCAAAACAACATGAAACTAATATAGACTTTATCATCTTAATAGTTGATTCTCGTACAAAGTGAGCATCAAAAGGACAGATTGGAACTTAACAGCAACAGGTCCCATTATCTATGTGGTCAAAAGTTACAATGGACAAAGATCTCTAGACTACTGATATTCTAAATTACATTAGGTAGTTGAAATTTACAAGGTAGTTGCATGGAAATTCTACAAATAATATCATCAAAAGAATTTGATCACATTGTCTTCGGCCAACATGATCTCCCCCTTGATGGTAACATGGATAAGATCCTCACACTCTTGACTCCACCAAATATCCAAATCAAGTGGTTAAGTTAAACCCATTAGCCAAACAAAAAATCTAGGAGATAACTTTGTTCCCGTAGAGTTGCAAAATTGTTGACTTGCAACCACCATTTGTATCCCTTCTAGGCATGTAAGGTAATGCAAATGCTTTGATTGCATGAATTACTAATGCAATGAACAAAAAAACAAAAACTGTGAACTAAGAAGGCAATATGGTAAGAACCCAATGGTTTGAAAAGATATGTATTAGACTGCAAAAAGCAAGGATAGACAGTGGGGAGAGCTGAAAAACCTCAAACTAAAAATAAATAAATAAATTTACGAAACTGATACAATGATGATGATTAGCAAAACTGCCACCAGTGGACCAAATGCTTTATGGTGAGAATTGGAAAATCAACAAAATATAAAAAACAGGTGTAGTTTACACAGGAGTATGTACCCACAAACTGCAACTGTGTATGCAAAGAAAAGCTCAAAAAAGGGCATGCAATAGTTTCCTATTCCCTCGTGAAGGCGTTTACACCCAAAGAAAAATAAATACTGTTGGAAAAAGTTTCAAATAACAAATTATTCGAAGTAATTTTCCATAAATCTCGGCACACAACGATAAATGTACCAAAATAAATAACTCAAAAGTTGATGATGCAAGTAAACAATAAAACCAATACCTAGTTTGTTTTGCCCATTTACACATACTTTTGGTTCCTTAGAATGCACCAATGAGTATATATTAAAAACAAAAACAAAAAAAGGCATCCCGTATAACCTTCATTAATAATGAATTAAGGAAAAACGAAGCTCACATAACTCACCTGGGATAAAATTTTAGCACAATCTTTCATAGTAGACAATTCCCTTCTTTGCGATGCCACATCAAATCGAGACAACAACCTGTTCTCCAATTCTACATGTCACCCCCAAAAAAAATAAAAAATAAAGGGAGGGCAGGTGGCAATTTGGCAAAGAACAACTTAATTAGAATATTTTATTGGAAGGAAACAAAGAAAATACCAACGAAAAAAGAGGGTTAGAACTCAGGCCATCGTAGCACCCCCCCCCCCCCCCCCCCCCCCCCAACAAAAAAATAAATAAATAAATAAATAAATTAGGGGATCATCATCCAAATGTAAAGCAAATAAGAGAAAAATAAGGACGGGATAACCAATGAACAACACGTCATTAAAATTTAAGATGAAAAATGAATGCCCTAATATATCAACAAAAGAAGGGGTACAAGTTCAACAACCCAGTAAACCAAACCAAACCAAACCTTAAGTCCTCATCAAATGGGGTCAGCTACATAAATTCTTCTTCTCCACTCAACTCTATCCAAGGCCATTTCGTTAGTCAAATTAAAGAGATTCATATCGCTATTTACTGTACTAGCCCATGTCAATCTAGGTCTGCCCCTTCTCCAAACACTTCCATCTACCATCACTATATTGCATCTCTTCTACTGCCTCTGTTGGTCTCTGTTGTATATGACCAAACCATCTCAACTTATTCTCTCTCAACTTATCTTTTATTGGTACTACTCCTACCCATTCTCGAATATACTTATTCATAACTCTATCTTTTCTAGTCTTGCCACGCATCCATCTTAACATCCTCATTTCAGCAATACTCATCTTATCTACATATTGGCCTCGTTTGGGAAGTTGGCTATTTTAGTAGGCTAAAATATTTGTGTTTGGGAAAAAGGTTGAATTTTTTTGTAATTGGATGTGATGTCTGTGAGAGAAAAAGTGAAATAGTTATGGATTTGATGTGACATTTTGTCTTATTGACTATTTTAGCCTATTTTGTCTTTTTGTGAATTTTAGCCCAAAAAAGCTAATATTTGGCTTCCCAAACACCCCCATTGTTTCTTAGTTGTCTAACATTTCGACCCATACGACATCGTTGGTCTAATAACCGTTCTATAGAACTTCCCCTTTAGTCTAATGGATACTCGTTCAACAACCTAGTGGCTTTTCATATTTTGAATAGAACCCTCTATTCAATCAAACAATCTAAGGTTCCTATACTTGCAGATGTATGAGAAGAGCAAAGAGGGGATGCATTCTAAGCATTTGCTATTCCCCCATACACCCCTCCAGCATGTTTGCAACCATCTAGGTGAAAACTTAAAACACATTCTACACAACATCAATATGAGCCATCACAACTCCCTTGTAACTCTAGAATGAATAAGAAGAAGACATTCACATAGAATATAACAATTTCAGAGCACCGTATTCCTTGCGGTTTGACTGTCATCCAAATTCAAAAATAAAAATAACTAAATAAATTCACTTGAAAGGAACTCTTCAACCCTGTTTATCACTGCAAGGAAGCATTTGTTGTAGTCAAGTTACTACTAGTCAAATTACTGATTTTAAGATTATCTTATCCCCCTTGATTCAATTTTTACATTTTACACAATTTATGAGTGATATTTTTCACTCCTTCATAGTTTTGGTCTTCTATAATTTGTTTAGTAATTTTTTCTTTTTTTAATTTCTCTAAACCTGATCACATTGAATGATTCTTTTCTGACTGAAAAAATGATTTCTTCTAACAAAAAGGATAGTCCATGATTTAATTGTTTCCCATTAACTAATTCTACATTTTTGCTATTGAATTTAATAACAAGAACATAAAAATAAAATAAACATAACATACCATTGCAATACTCCTGAAGATTGGCAACTGCAACCTCCAATCCTCTACTTGCAGTTGCATTTCCTGCAACTGATGGAGCGGCTATGCTTTGGCTTCCAATATCTTCTTCAGCAAATGACCCTAAAATCAACAGTAGCAGCAAAAAAATAAAATAAAATTATAACGGTCACAAAGCTCTGCCAACCAATTATCAGAATGTTGCCATAAAAATATGTATCCATCTCAATAAATTGAGCAGCATTAGACAAACACAAAATATTCCTAGGAACAAACTCAAATACAAAACAAGTATGTGGAACTCCTTCAACATAGTTGACGTGTCATATAAATTTTCTGAAAGCAAAACAAAATTGTTGTCTTCATGCAAAACAAGTTCTTTTATGTGTGTTTGTTTTATTAGCGAGAGATCAGAAACATAGCTATAGAAAAAGTTAACACAAACAAGGATGAGAAACCTTATATCTTTTTCTTTTATATCCATGGATTGAGGTAAACAGTGTCCCACCCATTGATTCAGACAAGCAAATAGAGAAAATGGGCTTGGTGAGAAAGCTACAGGTTATATGAACATCATCATAGTTATGCAATAGAGTCAAATGTTCATGAAAATTTACAATTTTAAAAGCTTTGCAAGATAGTAATGCCATCTTACGCAATTTCTGTGCAATTGAAGCAGCCTCAGCAACAAGACTATCATCAGAGAACAAAGGAGAAATTTCCAATAGGTCGCCTGGACTACTATTAAACTCCATCAAGTACTGTAGTATAAAAATAAACAAAATGGTGTTACAGCATTAAAAACAACTGTTGAATATAGAAATTAGATTACATAGAATCTTTTTATTTTTAGTGTTACGTATATAATCTGTGATTTTGTCAATCACTGATTTAGTGCCTTATTTATATTGTTTCTTTATTTATATCGTTTCTTAAATTGTATCATGAATCTATTATATATATATAGCCTCTACCTCATTCATTAGTAAGCCAAATCATTATTTTCATCCTTTTTGGTATCAGAGCCAGAGCAAAGAAACCCTAGTTCTCTACCCAGCCACTGTCGGCACCTCTGTCCCATTGCCTAACCACTGTTTCATCTTCTTCCTTCCTCCTTGAGTTCCGACAGTCCCCTTCTAGCCCTTTATTTCACCTAACAACCCACCCACCCAGCCTAGACCCCCCAAAACCACTTACCCAACCCTCTACACCCCTCGGCAGGTTGTTCTAGTTCTATCGAGGGTCTTGTTGGCTGCCGACCAGGGTGTTTCCTGGCCATAGACGGTTCGGCAGTTCAGTCCTGTTTTTTTTCCCTTTCTAAGGTGTGGTGCGGATGTATTAAGCACTTTTTGGCCTTTTTTAATTTAGTGGACTACCAGATTTGTTCTGTAGCATTTATTTGGAATAACCGTTAAGTTTTTTCCGGCTGGACTGTGTTGCTATGATTTTGTGTTTTCTTCGAGTCTTTGGCGTGCCTTGTCTCAGATGTATGCCCATGCTCATAATGATGCTCACATCTTTGAGCTCTATCAAGACATTGCTCGTGCCTCCCAGTCTGCTTTGGGTCTCTCTGTGTCAGAGTTCATTGGATACCTTCAGGCTCCTTGGGAGGAATTAGCTCAATATAAGCCCTTGACTGAGTTACCAGCAGACGCCGTTGCTCGTGTCCAGCCACCTTGCCGGCCAGCACACTTACCAATTTTTGATGGGTTTAAACTCTGAATTTGAATATCTTCGAACTCAGATTTTAAACACATCGCCCATGTCATCCCTTTATGAGGCCTTTGCCACCATTGATAGTGATGAGCGTTATCAGCTTCTGGTTCCGTACACCACTACTCCAGTGACACCTGTCTTATCTAACTAGATGACCCTTGCCGTAAACTCTAGTTCCCGGGTTTCTACTGGTTCAATTACCTGTCATCATTGTGGAGCTTCTGGTCATGTCAAGGCTCGCTGCTTCAAACTTCATGCTGAGTTGAGGCAACGATCTTCTCGCCCTCGTGGTTCTGGCACACCTCGCACTGCTGCTTTAGTGGAGGCCTCTCATGCTTCTAGGTCTTCGAGTATTTCTATTTTACAACAGTTACAGACTCAGATTAGCCAGTTTCAAGCTCAACTTAGGACTTTGACTACTAGTTTCTCTGGCCCATCCTCCTCTACTACTGCTACTCTCGCTACAGATACTTCTACTGCTTTTCATGTTCGGTCTGCTGGTCCTCCATTGTTTTTGGATTCTGGGGTTAATGATCATATAACGAGTGAGTTTTCCCTTTTTTCATCTCCAATTCCTACTACTATAGACCAATCTGTTTGTCTTGCTGATGGGTCTTTCTCCTCAATTCGTCATATGGGCAAGTGTCTTTATCTCTTGATATTACTCTATCCTCTGTTTTGCATATTCCTAATTTTGCATATAATCTATTATCCATTAGTCGGCTTGCCAAGTCCTTCAATTGTGCTGTTATTTTCTTACCTTCTTTGTGTCTGTTACAGGACCTGAGTTCGAAGAGTATTTTTGGCAGGGATATGAGCGCGATGGACTTTACTACTTTGGGGATCCACCAGACCAACCTCCTACTACTCTAACTAGTTTTCAGGCTACTCTAACTAGTTTTCAGGCGTCTATTTTGCCTTCCTCTATATCTTGTATTTTTAATGTTCAAACTTTAGAATTGTGGCATGCACGTATAGGTCATGTCCATTTCAATACTTATGTCAACTTTTTCCTTTATTAAATAAAGCTTGCAAAGATTCTAAGTTTCATTGTGTGATTTGCGAATTATCTAAACATACTCGTACCAGTTACATACCTCACATGACTCGTGCCCCTAATGCTTTAGACCTTATACATTCCAATGTTTGGGGCCCATCTCTTGTTCCTGCTTTTTCTGGCCATCAATATTATGTCACCTTTATTGATGACCACAATAGATACACTTGGGTATATTTGCTCCATCATAAGTCTGACGTGTTTCCCATTTTTATTCAGTTTTTGCAAATGGTTAAGACTCAATTTCGTACAGTTGTTAGGAATATTCGTTCTGATAATAGTGAGTAATATATTTCCAATACTTTTCACTCCCATCTTAATCAGACTGGTATTCTTCAACAACTTACGTATCCACGGATTCCTGAGCAAAATGGTGTAGCTGAACGTAAAAATCGTCATATTATGTCTGTTGTGCGATGTCTCCTTCGTGGTATGAGTGTCCCTAAGTCCTATTGGCATATGCTTGTCCTTACCGCTGTAGGACCTTTAGTTATGTGTTGCAGGGTCTTACTCCGTTTCATGTTCTTATACCCCACACTACTCTATTTCCTCTCCTCCCCATGTCTTTGGGTGTACCTATTTTGTTCAAGATCAAAGTCCAGCTCGTACCAAGTTAGATAACACGTCTATTCGTTGTGTCTTTTTGGAGTATTCTTCCATGTCAAAAGGGTACATGTGATTTGATCCTGTGTCTCATCACTTTCACACATTTTGGATGTTACTTTTTGTGAGGATCTCTCTTTTTTTGGGTACTAACCTTCCTTTGCAGGCTTCCACTCCCGTTTCTTCTAGTGTTCGCCGTATTCCTATTTTGGACGACGTTACAAATGAGGTTGTCCTCTCTCCTACCTTCGCCTCCTTCACTCCCTCCCCCCTCCAATTGCAGGTATACTCTCATCGCCCTCGCTCTCAGCTCCCCCTGTTGCCTCTCCGGTCTTTGGGTCAAGTACTTCTTCTCCTTTACATACATCCCCTCCACCTCGCCGTAATCCCCCTCGGGATTGATATCCTCCAAACTGTTGCGGGTTATTTGAGTAGTATTAATCATCCCATTTCCCAGTATCTTTCATATGATAGGGTCTCCCCTACCTATCGCTCTTTTCCTGGCAAGCTTGAATCTAAGGATATTCCTCGTTCTTGTGTCAAAGGCCCTTCAAAATCCAAAATGAATGGAGGCTATGCAGGTTGAGATGACAACTTTAGAACATAATTATACTTGGAATCTGGTTCCTTTATCTTCTGGTGAGAGTACTATGGGTTTCAAATGGGTATTCACTATTAAGTACCTAGTTGATGGCTCTGTTGACCGTTATAAAGCCCGCTTGGTGGCCAAAGGCTTCATTCAGGTTCCTGGCAAGGATTTTGGAGCCACTTTTGCACCTGTTGCCAAGCTTACCTCAGTTCGACATCTCATCTCTCTTGCAGCATACCTTTCTTGGCCTCTTCATCAGCTTGACATCAAGAATTCCTTTTTTCATGGGGATCATCTTGAGACGATTTATATGGCACCTCCTCCTGATTTTCAGCCTAAGGGGGAGTATTCGGGAAAAATGTGTTGATTGCGCAAGTCTTTGTATGGCTTGAAACTGTCTCTACGAGTTTGGTTTGGTCGTTTCAGTTCAGTCATCATCTCCATGGGGTTTGTTCAATGCCACTCTGACCATACTTGCTTCATCCGTCGTAATTCAACCAGTCAGTGTATAGTCTTGTTGGTTTGTATGGATGATATTATTCTCACATGTGATGATTCTGTAGGCATTGATCAAGTAAAAAGGGATTTGGGACACACCTTTGATATTAAGGCCAAGTTTAGCTATCCTAAATAAGTACACACTTTCTATCTTTTTTTCCATCACATCATCTCTCTACTTTTCTGCACATCTTTTCGTAAAAAGACAAAAAATACACTTATTTAGGTCATCCCAAACAACCCTTAAGGATTTGGGGAGTCTCAAGTATTTTCTTAGGATTGAGGTGGCTTGCTCACGGCAGGAAATTTCCTTATCTCAGAGAAAGTACACTCTTGACTTACTTCAAGATACTGGTATGTGTAAATCTGCTTCTACTCCTATGGATCCCAATGTCAAGCTCACATCAGAGTTTGGCGAGTTATTAGAGGACCCAGGCATGTATCAGCGTCTTGTTCGACGTCTGACTTAACATTTGCAGTCAGTGTTGTTAGTCAATTCATGCATGCACCTCGTACAGAACATCTTGATGCGGTTCATCACATTTTGAGATATTTGAAGACCTCTCTTGGCTTGAGATTATTCTTTACAGTTGCTCCTCAATCTAGGCTCTCTTGTTTCACTAATGCTGACTATGCAAGATCTAGAACTGATCGGCATTCTACTTCTGGTTTCTATACTTTCTATGGTGATCATCTTATATCATGGAAAAGTAAAAAGCATGCAGTTGTTTCTAGATCTTTTGCAGAAGCTAAGTATCGAGCAATGGCACAGAGAACATGTGAGATTTCATGGCTTCGTTTTATCCTAGCAGAGTTGCGTTTTGAGGAGACTGGTCCTACCTCCTTATTTTGTGACAACAAGAGTGCTATTATGCTGTCCTCTGATTCTGTCCTTCATGAGCGTACTAAGCATATAGAGGTTTATATTCATTTCATTCGAGAAAAGGTTCGGACTGATATTGTGAGTCCATCATTTGTCTCTTCTTCTCAGCAATTAGCAGATATGTTCACAAAGTCTGTAGGACCAACATTGCTCCAGTCAATTATTGGCAGGCTGCGATTGTTAAATATCTTCACACCAGCTTGAGAGGGAGTGTTAAATATATAAATTAAAGTACATAGAATCTTTTTATTTTTAATATTATGCATATAATATGTGATTGTGTAAATCACTGATTTAGTGCCTTATTTATATTGTTTCCTAGTTTATATCGTTTCCTAAATTGTATCATGAATCTATTATATATACATAGCCTCTACCTCATTCATGGGTAAGCCTAATCATTCTTTTCACCCTTTTGTAATAACTATCCATTATATGTATATTTGCACTACCTTTATGAGTTCTATCGTTTGGCTTGCGGTTTCTCGCTGAGCATCTGCACTCTGACAAAAAATAATCACATAAAACATGACTAAAAATAAATTATTTAATTAATTGGACTACGAGCATTAAATGATAAAAAAAATAAAAAAAATAAAAAAAAAATTAGAGAAACTTTACCTGTAGATGATCTCCAATTTTGGCAGCAGTCTGTCCAACACTTGATATACGTGAATCCAATCTTGCAAAACTACCAAACAAACCATCTACACCTTTTTCCAGCTGACCAATGCGATATACATAAAATGTTACTGAAAGTACGTCTTAAGCATGAACAATCAGATTCATGAAATAGTTCATAAACTAAAGTATTTCACAACCCCTACATGATTGTGGGTAGAAACCACAAAGCCATATTAGCAGAGACAAGGTACAAACAACAAAGAAACTTGTGCCACTTCAAACTATTTAAAAGCAACTTATTCCTTTATGTAGTTACAGGATTATCAAGTATACATCCAAAATGGAGAAGTAATACGTAGATGTGCCCCATAAACTAACCTGAGTTAGTGTCTTCCGGTGCTTAGAATCTTGAACAACAACCTCCTTCTTGAGATTGGAGAGTCTGCCATCAATCTTTAACCAAGCATACTAAATTAATTTTCAAAGTGACAGCCTCCGGGCATAATCTATATGGAGTTGCACAAAATATATATACCTTCTTATGAAGTTCAATTAACTCCCTGCAAGAATCCTGAAACAAAGACAGCAGAGCATCGACTTCTGGAAACAAAGGGCCTGATAGCAATTTTGCAAATTTTCCCGCATCAGGTGGAATACGCAAGTTCCCGTTTGACAAAACATCATTTGCACCAATGTTACCATGTCCTTCTAATGAATCTGTTTCTTCTTCATGATATGATGGGAGCAGCTCATTTACTAGGTTCCCAAATAACGCGTCAAATGAGAAGTCCCCCTACACAAAATTAGAGTTCCACGTTCAGTTAAATGTCAAAAATTTTAGCATATGATAAGCTGATCATGGTACTAAGTGCAGTTAGCAACACACACAAATCAAATCTTGTTGTGCACAAGCATGGAATTTGTGGATGTTGCATCTTTTACCTTAAAATCATCTTCATCTAGCACGAGTGGACCAGAATTAACAGATAGAGATTTCGAATAACTATCATTGTTGACTCCATCTCCACTCTCTTTCATCTAATCATGCAAAGCATATCAGAAACCAACCAACACACAATTCAACTAGGAAAATTATTCTCACCATGAAAAAATTCATTCCAAAAAATAAAAATAAAAATCACACCATCATGGCATGAAAGGAGCGAAAATCGTAAACAGTTACTCGGGATCTGGAGAAGCAAACTGAGTTCAAATCGTATAAATTCGTATATCGCATTTTCACATGCATATATGCATACATATGTAACGTAAAGTAATGTATTGAAAACGTAGAATTAGGAGCTGATCGATTGATCAAAAAGAGCGAGAGATATTGAGATGGAAGAAGAAAATTTACCTCTCGTTTCTTCTTCCTGTCCTCTGCGGGTTGATCGAGGAATTGTCAACAATGTTTTAAAAACAGGTGAGCGAACCGAAACAGATTGGAGGAGTTAACGAGCAATGTTTTATAAATTAGATTGGGAATGAATTGGAAAAAGAGATTGGGTGACTGGTTATTCGTTCAATCTTTTGGGTTGACCTTATAGTTATTTTATAAAGAGTAATGATTCATCCCCTTTTCCCCCACCCCTTTAACCCCTTTCTCTCTCATTGATTACTTTTTCTTTTTTTTTTTCTTTTTTTTCCTACTCCACCAATCACCCCCTGCTACGTGGCAAAGGGGGGTGAGGGGGTGACTCCCAAAAGGAGGTCTCAAGCATTATTCTTTTATAAATACGGTTCCGATTGTTAGCTCGAATAACACGGTTCGAAATCTGACTCGACATCAAAATGACGTCGTTTTGGTGTTAAGTACTGCTCAAGTGGAATTCAAGATGTCAGGAATCCAAAATAAAGTTGGATTCGTTGAGTTTTTTTGTCGATTTTTTTTTTTTTTTTTTCTGGTTTTGTTGCAGAACGAAGAAGAAGAAGGAGAAGAAGAAGGGAGAAGAAGAGAAGGAAGGAGGAGGAGGAGGGGAGGGGCCCATAAAAATTCGGTTGGAGGAGGAGGGGAGGCTGGGCAGACGACCGGGGCAGGCAGACGACGGTGGTGCTGCAACGTCGGCGGGGCTGGGCAGACGATCGAGGCTGGGCGAGGCGACGGTCTGCTGCGACGATCGGCGGTGGCGGTGGCGGTGGCGAGGCTCTGCTTCTCCTCTACTTCTTCCCTTCCTCCTCTCTTCTCTCCCTCTTTCTCCTCTGTTTCCTCTCTTCTCTCTCTCTTTCTCCATTTCAAGCCGTTTCGAGCCTCTAAAAGTCGAGCTACGAGGCATTTTCCTTATAAATATTTGAATAAAGTGTGAATTACACTGATGGTCCCTATAGTTTGGGACTTGTATGATTTTGGTCTTTAAATTTTTAATTGTGACACATTTGACCCTGAATTTTGAATCTTATTCTAAATAAGGACAATTGTAGATACTATTGAATTTTTCGATGGCAAAATCATCAATTTAATAAAATATAAATTAATTTAACAAAAATAAATGCTAAAAAATTATTTTTAAATTTTTAAAAATTATTTCTAACTACTAAAGATAAAATTATATAAAATTAATAAATCTTTTAGATATTTATTATTTTTTTTACCAAATTAATTTTTATTATATAGTTAGATGATGATCGTGTAAAATTAATTTTAAAAATTAATCATATAATTTTTATTAATTTTTATTAATTTTACATAATTTTATTTTTGGTGAGTAGAAATAATTTTTAAAATATTTTAAAATATTTTTTTAAGCTGTGTAATTTTATTTTTTTCTATTAGGTTAATTGAGGAAAATTTTTTAATAAGGGGTATTTGTAATTTTCAAAATGTGAGGGAGAAATTTACATTTTTGGCAAACTCCAAAAGGTGTATTTATAATTATTTTTTTTATTTTGGATAAACTACAAATACACCCCTTGAGATTTGTTTGAAATACGAATTGTCTCATGTGATTTTGAAAATTACATCTTGCTCATTCAAATTTATAATCACATAACAAATAACCTTTTTTATTAATAAATCATGAAGTCAATTAACAGTTTTTAATGATGTTAGAAATATGTTTCAATTAATAATTTAAATAATTTTATTAATGTATAGGAAAATAATTATGAATTTCATTTTTTTTTGTTAATTTTGTTAAATAAAAATTTTTGAAAAGGGGTATTTGTAATTTTTGAAATTACAAGAATAATCTATATTTTAAACACATCTCAGGGGTGTATTTATAATTTATCCTAAATATTTTAATAATTTAAAAATAAATAAAATATTTTTATAATTTAATATATATATATTTATCAAATATATATGCTTATATAATTTTTATTTTAATATTATTTATAAAAATATTAATTATATATCTTTCTAATAAAAATTATTTTGAATATGATAAATATTAATAAAGAGTTATCGTGGTTTGGTGTAAATTCATGCTCTCTTAGAACTTGAGGTGCTGGGTACAATTCTTTCTGGCACCAACATTTTCTATGTTGGACCGTATTTAGCAACCCAGCTTGGTTTGCTCCAACTCGTATCAGGTAATCCGGTTTAACTGCAAAAAACCCTTACAATTGGACAAATTACACTTTATCATTTATATTTGATCACTTTTTTATTTTGACCCTTCAATTTAATCAACAATTGTGATAGGATACAGATAAATTTTTAATTTTGTCATATACTCAATTGTGTAGAACTTACATCTCTTGCCAAATGATTGTGGGTAAATTTAAAAATCTAAATTATAGGTGTCTAGCATTACCCGTGACAAATGATGCAAAAAATACTTTTTTTTTTGCTCATAATGTATAAGTTTTGTTTGGTAACACGGTATAGAAATTATTTTTAGATCCGTTTTAGTTTATTTTTACCTTTTTTTTTAAATATTTTAGTCATCAATATTAGATGTGTCTATATAAAAAGTATAAAAGTTTAACTACAATATAAAAATAAAAATAAAAATAAAATCATTTAAAACGAACAAAAATCCAAACAAAAATAAATATATATATGTTCAAATTTTCATTTGTTTTTAGTAATTTTTTTTAGTATTTTTAGTTAATTTGTTTTTTTTCCTTTAGATACTTCCTGATTAGGTACATTTAAGAAATATAAAAACTTGATTAAAATACAAAAGAAATCGATAAAAATAAAGGAGAACTCATCTAAAAATATCTTTTAAAAAAATCAAACCAATCAGATACTGAATTCTCTTATCAATCCTATAAAATTTCTCATAAAAGTGGTGAATTCTCTTAGCAATCCTACATAATTTCTAAACAAAAGTGAAGATTTGATAAGAAACTAATGGATTGGGTAGTTATATTTATATAATAATTCTATTTTATTACACTACTTTTTTAATCACACTTCGTCTAAAAATTAAAAAATTTTGTTTTGAAACTTTACATACTTTTTTATTCTACTTATACCCTCATTCCTAATCTCTTTTATTTTGCTTACATTAAAAAAATTTCAATCACAAACTCCTCCTCCATTTTCAATTAATACAATTGTCGCTGCTGCTACTACCACCTTTAGAGCACCACCCTACATCCCCACTGTCGTGGCTACCACCTTGCAAACCCTTGCATCCGCAATCTTCACTTCATAGTCTCCCTCGCAACCACCACTTATGTAGCTTCTTTTCAACTTTTGTGTTTTGTTCAACGTGACACTTTTTAGTTGGAAAGAGCCAAACAAATTGGGTTTGTTCGGTCATGTCCCATCAAATGGGTTTAAATTAATTAATTTCGATCATAAAAATCTGAACAAACTTAAATTATTCGGCTACTGAAGACCAAACCATCTCAATTTGTTTGGTCAACTACAATCAGAAGGAGCTTCTAACTCGTATTTTCAAATAAAGCAAAACTACACCAAAATTATTGAAAATCATATACAAAACATCTTTTTAACACAAAAATCATGCATATCATTTATTTATAATGATTATGTATGCATTTTAAATATAAAAATTTACTTCATTTTGTACACAAAAATCATGCATATCATTTATTTATAATGATTATGCATGCATTTTAAATATAAAAATTTACTTCATTTTGTTTATTGTTTGTTGTTATATATATATATATATATTAAAGTAGAGGTATTTGTATTTGTAAATTGAGGAAGAGAATTGGGTCTTTTATCTATACATAGGCAGTTAAACCCTTATGGTATTTGTGGGTGTTGATTTCTAACCACACAACCAAACGGGGAACTCAGCTAGAGAGCATTGACAGAATAGATTAAGCCCGAACAACCTGTCACGAAAAGATAAGAATCCGGTGGTAGTTCATCCACCCAAGGCCATTCCGACGCTCAAGTCAGTAATCAAACATCTCTTAAAAATAGCAAATTGTGCTTAACTACAAGAAAAAACTTATTGTTTACAGTATATCACACATACCTGATACCCACGGGGATGCCTTGCTTTTATAGCCAGCATCCCTGTAGAAGCCTCACTTCAGTGGACTCAGGCTTAATGCTCATCTTGGACTCTTAGCTAAATAGGGATAAACTCCCTAAGAGTTTTATCTTTATCCAGATTGAGATCCTCTTCTATTCTAGGACTCTTACCCCTTATCTGTTTATCTTAGATTCCGATATCTCTGCAAATAATCTCAGCTTAGCCGAGATCACCTCGGCATCATAACCAGGCCACGTGGCACCTCGGCTAACACTTTGGCGTCACATTGGCCATGTGATATCATTCACAAAATATGACCCCACAGCAGTCAATTTATTATATTTTGATATTAAATATTTGAGAACTTTAGAGTTCTTGTATTTATTTTGGGATTTTCTCTCTATAATGAAATTTATTTATTGATTTGGCTCCATCAGTACTTACATTGAATTTATTGATCCTTTTGTTAATAGATAATATGATAGTAAATAATTATTTTTATTTGAAAGTGAAACAACTCACTTAATCATTCTTATTCCGACATGGGATTGTTTAAACTAAAAGCTAATAATTGTTTAGGTGAAATTTTTTATTTTGAATCAAATAAATCTAACCAATAAATTTTGATAAAACCATTAAAATTGTGGCTAAACCAGCGAATCAGTCAAACCGAAAACGATTCAGCTTAATTAGCTAGTTAAAAGACCAATCAACTTACACAAAATTAATTAATTACAACTTTTAAGTTTTATTTTAAAATTTAAACTGCCATGAACAAAAGTATGTACAACACTACAATATTAAATGGGAGCATAAGATTCACTTTATATAAGTAAAACAACTCAATTTTTCATTCTTTTCTCGGTGTGGGATTGTGTAAAATAAAAGTTAATAATTGTTTGGGTGGCAGCTTGTTTCGAATCAAACAATTTTAGTCACTCAATATTTAATTAGGTTAATGCACACCGTTTTAACCAATTGTATCTCTTAGACATTTTTTAAAACTGTCTTATTTTATTATATAGATAGTTCTAGAGTGGGATTTAGAATATTCTTGGAAGGTGGTAGAAGCCTCCATGAAGTTTCTATACACCCTAATTAATAAAGGCTCTAGAATGTTC